TTAGTAGCTTATTAATTTGTTAAATTTGTAGATAATTAGCTTTAAGTAGTGTTACAATTGAGTACAAAATACTACCGATAGTACACCTAAATCCTATCCATTAATATTACAAGTTGAATAAATAAATATATACTAATTTACTATATAATAAATTATTTAATTACTTTACTAGTAATTAACTAACTACAGTATCAATTTCAGCTCTAATACAACTAGCGATATTAACTCCAGTATTGGAATAGGGAATTAATATAAATGATAATAAAATAGAGATGAGATTCCAGTCTTTATCAAGAAAATGCCCAGTAATTGCTAAATATTTAAGTTGTTGAGATAATGTTCAAGTATTACAAGTAAGAGAAATTTTATCTTCAGTATTCCGAAGAATATTTTAAACATATGCTTTTCTTTTGTTATAAACTTTCATAATATCTCACTTTACTGTATCTACACTAATAATAAAGTCAAGTAATAGCCCATCAATAAGCTTGCGAAAACCTCACCCTTCTACAAACTAAAAGCTTAATTCATCTCAAATTATCATATCAGCTATATCTTCTCGAGCTAAATCTCTAGCATATGGTTGTTTTTTAAAAGTATTAAATATTAATTGTGTTTGACTATTTGTTAAATCTCCATCTCCTTCTGAACTAGCTATATTAGATATTGATCTTTGATATCTTTAACAAGACTTAAGATAACACTTAAAGTAAGATGTTTTATCTTCTTTTTTATAACTAAGTAAGTTTCTACAATGTTTATATTTAGCTGGTTTATTTATTAATACAGTATAACTTCAATATAATGAACCTCAATATGGGTGCTGTTCAGTAGAAAAGGGAGAGATCTTCATTTAGATTTAATCAAAAATTTTGAGAAAATCATATTTTTGTAAATCACAACAATTACCCAGTAACAAATAATGTAAATTGATTTTTTAAAATATTATTTATATATGCTATGTGATATAAACAATTGTGTAATGCATATGATTTTTAATTTTTCACTATGTAAAAAATTGTGTCACACTGAGTACCATATACAATACTAGATGGTTAAGATTATATATAAACTCAAAAAATTATTAAGCCAGCATAATTTAACTTTTAATTAGAATTATAAATTGGTTTATGCTTTATTTAATGAGCCAATAAAAATTTTTTAGTCAAAAAGTAAATTTCTTCCCTTTCTATTGAATAGCGCTTATATACCGAATTTGATATTATAGCAAAGATTTTTTTTAGCTAAAATTTTTTATTACAAAAATACCTCAATATAGCGAATTTTACTTATAAAACCTTGATATATTGTATAATGAAAAAAAATTTTTATTTATAATAAAATTATCTAGATATAATAAATACCTTAATAAAGTGAAATATTTATAGTATAATGAAACTTTGTATAATACTATCAATCAAATTCTTATATTGGAACACATTATATAAACCAAATATTTTATAAAATATATATATATAATTTGTTATATCAAGAGAAATCATTTACAAACCGAATATTTTATAAAATTATATATAAATTCAAGAGACTCTAATATAGTAAAATATAGATATAATGAAGCAAAACCTTCAGTTTTAGAGTTTCATTATATCAAGGTTATACTATAATTCAAAATGATCCCAAACAGAAAACCTATATCTTGATGTAGTTTTATTAATAGTTTCACTAGTAGTTTCATTAGTAGTTTTGCTAATAATTTCACTAGTAGTTTTGCTAGTAATTTCACTAATAATTTCACTAGTAGTTTTATCACTAGTAACTATGCTAGTAGTTGGATTAGTAATAACTAATGAAGTCTATACAAAAGATATTGGTGTAGAGTCATTAACGGCTAATATATTATTACTATCATTGCTATTTATTAAGTTACCTATATTGTTAGACTAATTAAGATGTAATGCAATAGTTTTATTTTTGTATTAGTTAATAGTTAGTGCTATTGAAATCTTTATAATAGTAAAGTCTACTAATACTATTAATTTTTACTTACAATATGTATTAAATGTAATCGTATATTAATTAGTACATTAGTAGGTTGTAAGAGCTTTAGTGTCTTGAAAGGTCAGAAAAATAAAAAAAACTTTAATATTAGTTTTAATATAAGTTAATAAAATTGTAAAATTAATTTTAGTAAGTGCGAACCTTAGTATACAATAGATATACTATGTAAATTATTCTATAAAATATTATCGCTATATAAATCTTAATAAATAAGTTCTTGTAAATAAATTATTTGATTAAAAGCAGGAATCTAGTATATTGGTAAATTAGATATTAATATTAGGCTTTAGTGTATAATAAGCTTGGGCTTTAGTGTATTAATAAGTCTGGGCCTTGGTGTATTGGCAATATGTCTTGGCTAAATTTTCAATCTAGCAAAAAAAAAAAAATCGATTTATACTTATATATAGGTAGATTTTAATCATGTGAATATTAAACTATTGGATAATTTATTAAAGTAATTTAGATTATCTTGTAACAATTGATTGGTAGATTAATACATGAATATACCCATTAGTTTAAGAGCTAGGTAGTGGTATTGCTCTAACCTTACCCACCTATATAAAAATATAATACTTCAAGATCTTACCCTTATCCAAGGGCTTAAAAGTGAATATCCTTACCCGTATTATGTAGTACTACCTATAGGATATCTATGGATAGTCCAAGCCCTTGTGGAAGCCTACATCTAACTTCTGAATTTTTTTATGGATTACTGAATTACTTTGATAGTTAATAGAATAGAAGATATTTTATTGAATTTTTTTGGTGTCAAGCTTTGCCAATTTGTACTTATAGCTGCCAATCTATTTTTGTAGCTGTAAAACATTATGCTAATATGTCTTTCATATTGTGTAATATTTGGTTGATTGAACTCTTTTTGTAGATCACTTTACCAAAATAGGAACAAGAAGAAAAAACTTTCTTGCAGCGTTATCTCTAAAATTTACTAAGTAACTTAAGTCTCGGCTTTTAAGTAAAGTTATCTGGCACTTTCTAATCTATCTAAAGGAGGTGCAACTTTGGAAAAAAATGACTCGTTTATGAAAAAAAAGACAAAAAAATACTAAAATCGACCGAAAAACAAATTTTTCATCGTCCCGCAAAAGTGGTCCTAAGAACCACTCATACTCTACTAATATAAAACAAACTAATAGCCCTACTCTATATAAAAACAATATCAAACAAGGATTACTAAGCTCTTCTCAGTCTCAAACTCAACTCAAAACTATGGTCTCTGAAAGCTTTTCCTTTACCAGAGAAATTTTTTTCTATTGGCACAGGCCAGCAGAACAAAAAGAGTCCTCTACCCAGACAATGCCCACAACTCTAGCTTCAGAACACACAAAAAAATTTGTCAACATTACTATTAAAGACTGGTCCAAACTTATCTTTACTGTTAACTTTTCAATCCAAGAGTATACCAACAACTTTCTCTTCTATAGTGATATTACTAAATTTGGCAAGATCTCCAACTTGGTCGACTACCTATCCCAATGGGTATGTGAATACAAAGACCCTAGCCAATCAGTCCTTTTTGACCTATCTTTATCAAAAAACAACATAGTTGATATCAGTGCCAAAACCCATACATAATATTGATATAACAACAATCACAAAGTCATACTACGACAGTATAAAACCTTATATGAAGGCAAACAGAATGCTGATCTTTATCTTATCCTATACAATGATATAACTAACCTTGAATCAGATAATGCATCTAATAGAACTACTACACCTAGAACAAACTTAGCCAAAGCTGCCTCTGTACCAATGGACACAGATATTATTATTAACACAACAGCACCCAACACATCTCAAATTACACAACATCACACTACCAACACTGTACCTAGACTATCTACACCTCCGAGCCAAATTACACCTGCCTTGGTATCTGTTACTCGGTGAAACCCACCTCCTTTACCTGCAGCTATTACAAATAGAAAGCGAGCCAGAAATATCTTACCTCTCACTACTATTTCTAACAAGGCTAATAAGACTACTACTAATAGTGCACCAGCTCCATTCAAGCCTCTCTACAGCCAAATTACTAAAACCAATATCACTTCACTCATGATCAACACCCCAGACAATATAGAATTTGCCCAAGTTATTACAAACAAGATTCCAAAGCCTACCAATACTGCATTCGACAACAATACTTGGACATATAATGCTATTTCACAAGTATTTACTACACCAGCAGGAATCTATCAATTTATTAGCTACAAGCTAGCCACTAACCAAACCCAATACACTTTACCTACTGCTATTCAGCTTAAATTCATTTATTGTAATACCTGCTTCTTTACTACCTTTACTCGAAACCCCAAGACTACACCTGCATATCAAAAAGAATTTAACACATTATTCAACAAAGCCCTCTCAACCTATAAAGAGGACAATAACATTACAATAACTGACCATGCAACATGGAATACTATCAACTCAATGCTAAGGAAAATACTTATTGCCCAATATCTATCCAACATTAATACTACAAGAGCCACTCCTAAATCTATATATGAGGCAATTCATTACGCAAGAGGATTCTTAAGAATTCCTAATGAAAATGAAAATACATCCAAAGATATCAAAGCAGAGATCAACAGAGCTTTTAAAGACAAACTAGAACAACTTCCCGATTATCTAAACAAAATTCCTCCTAAAATCCAAGAAATTTTGCCATTTAATCTTTCCATTAAACAAAGATCACAAACTAGAGCAATTGTTAATGCACTAAGAAAGCTTTACAAATTCCCTGAACTTCCATCTTCTTACTTCGCCACACTATCTACACTTCCTGCCAACTACAATAGCCTTCCAGAAAATTTACGTAAACTCTTTCCCATTTCCTATAGATCAGCCCTTCAGCACTTAGGCGCCTACAAAAGGAAGCTTGCTGATCACTACATAGTAGTACAAATTCCAGATAGCTACTTCGACCTTCCGCCTCCTAAACAGCCACTTCCTACAATATACCAGGAGTTTAATCCAAAAGTCTGTAGCTTATTTCTATACAACTCAGCTACCTCAACTCTAACACTGGAGCAAGTAGTAACTCAAGTCAGAAAATATTACATATTTAAACTTCTACCAAACAACTACTTCGTTATCAAACCACTTCTTTCAACAGATCCTAATAAGATTCGTACAAGTACCCAATTCTTCTTCCCAATTACAAGTGACACAGAGGCAAAGAAATTCATATAACAAATTGCACCACAATACAGATTCAAACTTCCACTATCTACAGAGATTTTACAAACAAACCCTACTGATAAACCATATCTACCCAAGGCAGACCAACTCCCTAAAGATATTGGAATTACCCTCCCCATCACTACTCCCCAGCAGCTAACCAATACAGCTAAAATCTTAAAGAAACACTTCTTCTTCTTTCAGTTACCTCCTGACTGGATTCAAATCTCAACCAGCAAAACTGAAAGCAAAATGGACTCATTTGACACTCCACAATCTCTTCCTGAGATCCCAGCAAAAGTTACAGAAATAAGGAAAATACTTATAGCTCGTAGCATCAAATTAAAACTCCCAATCTAGTCCCAAGAAGAAGTTACATCTACTATGAAAGTGCTAAGACAACACTTTACAATTAAAACAATTCCTGACTTTATT